TGAAACCATAACGAGGAGGGAAAGTGTTTACTAGTATATTTTCCGGAAATGAAGGAATTGAATTAAGGGGACACAGAAACACACTGAGCATTGAAATAGGTTGACAGCTGCGGCCACGTTGGGTAGCGTCGTTATAGATTCCATTGTTGGTTCCCACCAGTGATGGCCGAAGTGAAGTACAACAACCAGGCGAGCCGAATGTGTGACACACTCGTTATTAACGTGGCATTCCGGGTTCTTTGCTTTGAGATACTATTTAGTGTACATATTACTATTTTGTTTTGTATAATCGTACAAGAGAACACACGATTTGCAGAAATACATGAGGGAAGTAGCTCCACAGAATGGTGCCTGGCAACTCGACCTTTAAATATATGGTATACTCCCCATGGAACTTAGAATGACAGTTGAATCCAATGTGGCGTAGAACGTTACCCTTTACAAGTGACTCACCCACATTTATTATCATAATTTTTACAAGCAGTAATAGTAGCAGCAGAAGCAGAAGCAGTAGTAGTAGTAGTAGCAGTAGCAGTAGTAGTAGTAGTAGTAGTAGTAGCAGCAGTAGTAGTAGTAGCAGCAGCAGTAGTAGTATAATTGTTCTTACTAAATGAATCCATATTTAAGACCCTAGTATAAAAACATTGGAACTACATGCATGATTAAGTTTTAAACCAAAATTACCATCTGAACGCTGGCGATTCCTTGTCGATGATGTTGCTAACTGATGAGAATAATCTCCCTGCCCAAGGACATGTCACCAACCGATTACTCAATACATGTCGAGATTCCAAGCTGCATAGTAGCACTCTTTCCTGACATGTATTGATTGAGAATGCCGATAACGAATATAACATGCTGTTCAGCCAAACATAATGCCTGGTTGTGGGAGTACGAACCAAGGAGGGCTAACATTAATAGCCGGGATGTCCAGATAATGTTGGCTATCAGCCACACTGTTTTGTAGTCTGTGAGACCAGATAGGACCAGTGGTGAATTTGCTTTCGAGTAAGAATTTTTCTGTTGGACATGGTAACATTAGTGGTTGCTGGGTGTTTATTTTATAACACAATTTAAGGTAATTGATCAATGTCTATTGCTCAATTACCATTTATAATAAAAGGGTTAACAATGATAAATGGGAGAAATCGATGCATGATAAGAGGCAAAATAGGTTTGATTGTTACAAAGGGCAATGAAATGAATGTTTATTTCTGCTGAGGTACAGAAATGAAACCACTTCATAATTAACAATTTGCATATATAAATACGATTCAGGTACCCAATATTCATAGACAAACGAACAAGCCTCTTGAATATAAATCGAGAAGGTTTTAACTGTTTCATTCAGAATAGTCCAAGAATCCAGAGAGTGTGAAATAGTTACTGAAAGCATGGGAAAAGAGCTTGATCAGTCAACTCCTGTGTAATCTGGGTCTCGCGTTAGGAAACCGAGGGGGACAAATAGGTTCCCTAAACCTACATGGTGACTCCGAAAGGGTGGGTTATTGCTCATAAAATCAGCCTCTGGTTTGTCTGTATCCAGACTCCATTATTAAAAGAACTATGTAGTGCTGTAGTGTGGAGCTGGATGACACAACACTACTGAGTATGAATGTAATTACTTCCACTTCCACCACATGGATAGTTTTCCTTTACTTTTCACACATTTCTTACTGCAAACTGAATTGTGTGAAAGTATTTTTTTAATGATCAATTGTTTTTAGCAAGAAAATATCGCATTGCTTCGATTATTTTCTAAAATTTTCGACTTTTTTCGTCACTTAAAGTTTCTTTCACGTTTTTTAAAAAACCTAATCGAAGTAAAATGAAACCTCACGAAATTCTGAGAAACTAATCGAAGCAATGATAAAATAATCGAAAACTCAAGTATTTTAAGGAAACGTGAAGTAAGGAGAAAATACTTGAAATTTCGAGAAACTATTTGAAATAACGAGAAAATAATTGAAGCAACGAGAAAATAGTCAAAGCAATTAGAGAAATTTCGAATATTTTATGATACAAAAGTGGCAGCATTGAGCTTTTGAAGAAATGCGCTTATTGGGTAGAAGTGAATAACGTGTAAAGCATCAGTCAACAATATTCCAGCTTGATTAAGTCGTATGTATAAAATACCAGAGGCTGAAAGCACCAGCAACGATCTGCACCATTCAGTACAATGACATGCTGTAGGCCCGGTCAACCATCCCGACCACAGATGCTATTGATCAGTTTTTACCACATGGATAGCATACTTGTCTCCCATGCTGCACAGGGATTTGCATAGGCTCTTTTATATATTAAATGCACTTGTAACTTCAATACAGCCATACATGAGCCATGTATTTATTTAGAATTCCCAGTTATTCGTCCAGCTAACTAAACTATCAGAATGACATTCTTTATAAAGTCATTCGGTGGAGAATATGGTGTGTTTTTGTTACTTTTGTTACAAAGTTGATAATTACCAAAAGCTGTAAATTTAACACTGACTGACTGAGTTTGGTTTTACGCCGCTTTTAGCAATATTCCAGCAACATCACGGCGGGGGACACCAGAAATGGGCTTCACACATTGTACCCATGTGGGGATTCGAACCCGGGTTTTCGGTGTGACGAGCCAACGCTTTAACCACTAGGCTACCCCACCGTCCCTGTAAATTTAACAAGGCGTTGAAAACGTAATGACCTTATATTACTGGCTCTGTTGTTTTAATAGTTCATAGTTTCTTAAAGCATCTGAAGAAGACATCATCAACATGATCGATGCAATATCCAAAGAAATGTCAAAGACTGCTTTTCACAGAATCTGTAGATGCATCACGCAAAGTTTAGATAAAAAAAATGTACTTTGAAAAAGTTCTTATTCAATGATTTTCAAAATATATTCTTCATTGCTGTTGATCAAAACACTGGAAATTTAACATGAAAGAGATTTTTTCTTATGTTGCAACAGGCCTGCCACTAAAAATGTAGAACTTTAAATGAGATCAGAATTCAGTGTTCCGTATGCCTCCAAAATGGAAAATGGAAATACAATTTTATGTTGAATCTTGGATCAGACTGTCAAGAATGTGGAGACAAAATAAATACACCTTATGCAGGTCCTTATCATGTTAGTTTAGACATTTGTGAAACCAGCATTAATAAAGTGGTAATGAAGTGCTAATCACAACTCTTGACATTATATCATGCTGTCATCCTACAATGTCACATCATCTTCAGGGAGCATTGCTGCTGTAAAAAGTGGCAGAACATTTCCTTTCAGTCGAGCAATACTCCAGCAGTTCCAGCCTTTGATGTGTACATTTCCCAACTTTGGGGGTGTAATCAAGCATGGTCTTCCTACAAAGATTTCAAAGAGAGTCATGCTACTTTTGCTCAAAAGTTGTTTGATCTGCATTATAACATTCCTAGCTTCAGTGAAGGTTGTAAAAAAAATCTGGTCGACATGTGGAGGACATTTCCAAATTTGACAGTAATGTCGGATGCAATTCCGTTTTGATGTGTACCATGTTCTGATCAAGTGAGATTAAAACATAACACAGACATGAAATCATCATGAACCCTCACAGTAGCCAGACAACAACATATTCATACAGATCTCATCAACACCCTCACAGTAGCCAGACAACAACATTCATACAGATCTCATCAAGACCCTCACAGTAGCCAGACAACAACATTCATACAGATCTCATCAACACCCTCACAGTAGCCAGACAACATTCATACAGACCTCATCAACACCCTCACAGTAGCCAGACAACAACATTCATACAGATCTCATCAACACCCTCACAGTAGCCAGACAACAACATTCATACAGATCTCATCAACACCCTCACAGTAGCCAGACAACAACATTCATACAGATCTCATCAACACCCTCACAGTAGCCAGACAACAACATTCATACAGATCTCATCAACACCCTCACAGTAGCCAGACAACAACATTCATACAGATCTCATCAACACCCTCACAGTAGCCAGACAACAACATTCATACAGATCTCATCAACACCCTCACAGTAGTAGACCAGACAACATCAACACCTCACATAGCCATACAGATCTCATCAACACCCTCACAGTAGCCAGACACAACATTCATACAGATCTCATCAACACCCTCACAGACAACAACATTCATACAGATCTCATCAACACCCTCACAGTAGCCAGACAACAACATTCATACAGATCTCATCAACACCCTCACAGTAGCCAGACAACAACATTCATACAGATCTCATCAACACCCTCACAGTAGCCAGACAACAACATTCATACAGATCTCATCAAGACCCTCACTCACAGTAGCCAGCCAGACAACAACATTCATACAGATCAACATCAACACCCTCACAGTAGCCAGACAACAACATTCATACAGATCTCATCAACACCCTCACAGTAGCCAGACAACAACATTCATACAGATCTCATCAACACCCTCACAGTAGCCAGACAAGACAACAACATTCATACAGATCTCATCAACACCCTCACAGTAGCCAGACAATTCAACATTCAGTAGCCAGATCTCATCAACACCCTCACAGTAGCCAGACAACAACATTCATACAGATCTCATCAACACCCTCACAGTAGCCAGACAACAACATTCATACAGAGCCTCATCAACACCCTCACAGTAGCCAGACAGCAACATTCATACAGACCCTCACAGTAGCCAGACAACAACATTCATACAGATCTCATCAACACCCTCACAGTAGCCAGACAACAACATTCATACAGATCTCATCAACACCCTCACAGTAGCCAGACAACAACATTCATACAGATCTCATCATCAAACACCCTCACAGTAGTAGCCAGACAACAACATTCATACAGATCTCATCAACACCCTCACAGTAGCCAGACATGTAGCAACATCTCATACAGATCTCATCAACATCTACCTCACAGTAGGTCAGATGCCATGGGAACAACATTTAATATGTATTTAATCATTCATACAGATGCAGACTCATTCATGCTGTTTCTGTGAACAATAAATACATTGACAGCCATTACATCATTAAATATTCTCATTTTCAAAAACTCGAAAACTTACCAAACCAAATGGTTTTGATGTGACCAGGGTTAAAAAACTGTATTTAAAATAAAACACATGACAATTATCACTGTTGACAAGTCAGCTCGAAACAGGTTTCTATTTACTTCAATACTGACAAAAAATACAGGAACTGATGAAGTGATAGTGAAATGTCATTAATGAGAATGTATGTTGACATTTGCAAAATGTCAAATATCCCAAATATTAGCTTAGATTGTTTAGAAAATCTGGACACAGCTTGGGGTAGCTTTGCAGGGAGAACAGTGCACAATACCACAGACAACCATACATAAGTTAAAAAACAGTATTACATCAAAGTGGACTGAGTGAGTGAGTTTAGTTTTACGCCGCACTCAGCAATATTCCAGCTATATGGGTGCAGTCTGTAAATAATCAAGTCTGGACCAGGCAATCCAGTGATCAACAGCATGAACAGAGATCTGCGCAATTGGGAACCGATGACATGAGTCAACCAAGTCAGCGAGCCTGACCACCCGATCCTGTTTGTCGCAGCGCCCACAAGCAAGCACAGTAGGCAAGCATGGGTTGCTGAAGACCTATTCTACCCCGGATCTTCACGGGTCCCAAGCATGGTGGACACACCAGACATTGATCTTCAGAAATACATTATTTGAAATTCAAAAATTTCCAGGGCACGTTAAATAGAAATAATTCATCTTAACTTTGAAGTGGTGACTTGTAATTCAATGAGCCATTCCAGCAAAATAATAAATCCCCCCTCAGACTATCCTCACCTGTTCATGTGATTGTGGAAGTCCTAGGCGTTTCTGCTGCTCATTGAACATCATCTCACCGATCTTGGCCTGGGCTTCATCATCAAGATCAGTCATAGGACGACTGCAGTCAATGTTACGAACGTTAATCTTAGGCTCGTCCTCTAAAGCTGATTCCCACCATCTTTCTTCTCGTTTTTCTAAACTGACCTGAAAAACATCCAGAGAAAATAAATACTTAGTTAGAAAGTTAAAGAAAGCTATTGAAAGATAAAAAGACCTGCAAAAGTGTTTTTAACTGAAGTCACTTCAATTGAAAAATTGGACATCATTTGTTGGTTGCTTCGTTTGATTGTTTACTGCCGCGCAGCTTTTTGTAAATAATCAAGTCTGGACCAGACATTCCAGTGATTAACATCATGAGCTTTGCTCTATGCAATTGGGATATGATGGCGTGTCAACCAAATCAGCGGGTCTGACCATGTGACCCCGTTTGTTGCCTCTTATAACAAGCATGGGCAGCTGGAGACCAATTCTAACCCTGAGTTTCATATCGACCTGCCATCTGATATTTTTATCTTGAAAATGAACCACTATTGTGGATATTGTATACACACTGTAATTTCAGAGCACTCATCCTATGGATTTGTCCTCAGATTTTCAAACAGATGGATTGAATTAAAAGATGTACTTTAAATAGTGCACCCTCTTATCATCTGTGCAATCTGACTTACATGTACATGTTCTGCAGGGACCAAACTCCACATACATTCCTCCTTGTTGACATCCCAGGTTAGATTACCATCTACGACTGTCTGAGACACACCCTTGTCGTCACGGTAACACACTCGCAGGTGTCGTTTCTCAACGGTTACTTCAACCTGCTTTCCTTTCTTAATGTATGGCGGCACCTTTAGCAATGAAGATTGATGGTTATGAAAATAACTAGTTTACAAATAGGCAGGTACCTTACTCTAATGTACCATCATACAAAACTAGAGACACATAACTTATAGCATTTCAAAGACCTTTTCATGGTAATTATTACACTCTTAATGCTTTAATATCTTGCCCACAAATCAGCCTTTAAAAGTTTAAGTATTATTCATCAATTGATCAAGAGACTAATATTCCTCTACATGACCTCATCAGGCAATAGTAATGAAAAAACAAGTTAAGAATTGTCGCCAAATGCCAACCATTTACACTCTGCTTGTTTTGTTTGTTTGTTGTTTACAGCAGTCTGTAAATTCAAGTCTGGACCAGACAATCATGCAGTCAACAGCATGAGCATCTATCTATGCAATGGGGATACAATGACATTTTGCCGTCAACAAAGTCAGTGAGCCTGACGATACGGCCCTGTTAACCATGGTAATTGCCTCTTACAACAAGCAGGGATTGCTGAAGGCCAATTCTAACCCGCATCTGCATGGGTAGACAACCATTTACAGGCTACACCATAGGTGGAACATTGCTAAGTGTAGTTTTAGAAAAAAAAAAAACGAAATATGAGTACTGTTTCCACTTACAAAGATTCGAATGTCAACATCTGATATTGACTGTGACCAGACATACTTTTCCCTCACAGCCCCATTGTAGCTCAGCGGGTCATTCTGGAATGCCTGCTGCTGCCTGTAATTGACCATCAAGGGAACATTATGCTCAAATGTACAGGCCAATCTCTCAAGATGACGTATATAACAATACATTTGTGAAAGAAATATTATAATGTGTTTACTTGAACACACTGTGCATTCTCTCTCCCACAGAGGCTCTCTCTTCCTTTTGAAAACCTTTTGAGTATACTAGACCAACCATTTCCATCCATACTCACCTTAGGCAAGTGAGTTTGTTCAAAATTGTCTCTGTTCACCAAGCAGAAAAATGGGTACCCGGAGTGATAAGTCATGTGACTATAACCTGCTAGTGCCTAACAGGCAGCTTGGGTTATTCGGCGTAATAATGTTGTGCTGTTTGAACATGCCCCTTTATGGTGTGGAGTATTGCGTGGTATAAGTACCCTCATTATTATTATTATTATTATCAATATAGAACATCATGCGCCGTACATATATGCTGCCATAAGTCAGGCTTATCATGCTTAGATCACAAGACATTTTACTAGCCTCAGGCTCCTGACTAGTGGTCAAAGACACAAATTGTGCTTGGGTTGCACAATCCACAGGGTAGTGAAAAACGAACAAGAATGAACACTTTAGCTGATCATGTTTGTTAAACAGGGAATAAATCATGAACTTCTAGCACAGGCCTATCTAGTATGGAATTGCTAATTATTTTCATTAAAGAGTATCAACCTACTTGGATGCCCTTGTGTCTTCATCTGCATCCTTGTTCTGACTTGGTGGAGCCTTCACATCACCAGCACCACCTGTGGAGGGGACGGTGGTTGTGCTGGCAGTAGTTGCTGTTGTTGTTTGTGGTGTGGAGGTGGCAGCAGGAGTGTTAGTCTTGGATGTGGTTGTTGATGACACCTGCTGCTGTTCTGAAGTCTTCATCTCACTGATCCCTGGTGGATGTGTTGGTGCTTCTTTTGAAGAATAAAATATACACACAATTGAAGATACACAGTGAACTGGAAGTAAATACAGTTTTAGCCGGTAGCACTGACATGAAGTGACCTGAAAGTTGGCTGAAAAGTTGTGATCAACAGGTAAACCATAAAGCTTGAAGATAGATGAATATATTGCAACTGACTCTGTGGCATTTGATAGGCAAATCAATGTAACCAATCACAGTTTCATTTAATATATGTTTCCATAAACAGAAATATATATTAGCCCCCACCTACTTAAAGACTACTGTTTCCTGAGAATAAAACATGTAGGGCTTGGGTAGAATTATTGTGGTGATCAAATTGACAATGTCACAGATTTAATATTGCTGTCAACAGTTCTTTGTGTGTTGATGATTTTGCAAGCTGTCTGTGAAGTTATTGTGTTTACATATTTATCTAGATAAGAATTGGTCTCATTACTTTAATGGGACAGGTGTAAGCAACAAGTGCCTACGGTCAAAGGGAGATAACTCTAACCTCTGGAAGTGGATAATGGATATGGCCACATGAGTCTGGATCTTGAATAGACAAGATGTGTTGTATGAGCTGTATTAAACTATTGTCTTACACAGTGAGATTAAAAAAAGACCCTGGGGTTGGTGTGGGTGTGTACCACACCTCTGGATTCACCAGTGTAAATTGCATTGGATCAAAGGTGTGAGTTTAAGTGATACCACATGGTAAGTATGGGAACTGGGAAGACAGACCAAAAACCACATTAGATGTTGAACCTCCGTTAGAATCCTCAATCTGCAGATCCAGGCACATTTTGAAATGCAAAACTGCACAAGGAATTGTGACTCCTTGGACCACTGGGCAACCTAGGGCAGGGCAATAGTTACCTTTCGCCAACCCCTTATCTGCCCTTTTTCTTCTCTCTTTCCATCTCGTCCCTCTGGGCGAATGCTTCATACTTCTTGAATTCCTGACAAACATTGACATGGAACAAACAGCTGGATTAAAAGCACTTCACATGATCATGATTACTGTGAACAGAAACAAATTCATTTAAACACTAGCTTATATTAAGATGGGAAAAGGGTGTCAAATTCAATTTCAAATGAAATACATTTCTGCTTTGACAAATTTCGTCATGTTTACATTGCTTTTAAACGCTTTGTTATGTCAATTAACATTGTTATTGGTCAACTTAAACACTTTTTACAAACATGAAATACTGCTTTCCAGTTTAGTTGTGTAAAGGGGAAAAGAATGAATGAAGATTGTTATTATGATTGCAGGAGAACAACTACACCATGTACACAGGATGTTAATCATATTATCCAATATACATCCACATAGATACAGAATGCATAGAGCTGTGTTTAACACCACAATGACATTTAGGGTAACATGGCATGTCAGTGTAATTAAGTGCATTATCTGATTATATGCTGACCTTCAATAACAGTTTAGCAGCAGTTCCTGGTGGAAATCCAAGCTTGTCATTTTTGCTCTTCATGATGCGGAAAAAGTCTGTCCTGTAAGAAGAGATGATGAATGTTGTATCGTCATTAATCTGAATATTATTAATGAATGAATGCACTTTAACATACACCAATAAAAGATAATATTTATCAAGACTAAAATGTTACACTACAAAAAACAATCCCTGCCCCATTTTGTGGAAAAATGAGAGGCGAACAGATTCTATGGTTACACCTTATTTGAATAAAAAAGGTTGAGGATAGTTTGGTCTCGGTGTGCTTGAATATGAACCCGTCTGACAAACTGGCTCTGATGTACACGCTGAACAGCCTCAACATGCTCAATGCTTGCATAATCATGATAATGTCTGGCATTCAATCAACAGAAATTGACATATTTATACTGGTGAAATTGCATCAAACAGGCTTATCACATGAAACTATGTAACTATACAACATATTCTCTACAACTATAGAAGAATAAATGTCATACGTAAGTAGGTTCTGTCATCACAAATGATCACCAAACGAGCCTTGGTTAAGTCTTTGAGAGGTCTGAGTTTGACAGACTGAGACTCGTTACAGCTGATTTATGCCAGACAGTTGTACATCACGAGGTGATAAAGCAGCTAAGCAAAGTTCTAACCTTCTGTATAGGAATCCTATAACGACATCTAGGAAATTGGTAATTTCGCCTTCATTCGACAATATTCCAAGAAGCGTTGAATCGTATGTGTCGCGTACGCTTGCCATGATCGTATTTGTCCGTTTGTTTACAGCGTTCTCGTGGCGGAAGTCGTGTTGCAGTCTCGCGAGGAAACGATAACTTGCGAGAGTATTGACATGGGAATAGTGATATGAAACAGACAATTAAAGGCATTTGAATGAAAGATTACAAGCCATATATTAGTTTAGGATATATATATAGACCGGCATTTACACCGGTAAACGTGAAATTACTGGTCATAATCCGGTAACCAGGATGCACCATTCTACATGGCCGCGCCCATTGGAGTCAATCATGGCGCTTCCTATTCGGTATATCTTTGCTATCGCATCATTGGGATTGCTGTCCGCTGGCATATACGACTACCTAAAGAACTTTGAAGAAAATGGATGTGAAATGACATGGATGTTTGAATATCCTAAATATATTGTGCGTGTTTAGTATCTTTAGTTTTCTGAAATAAAAGACGAGCCAGTTCGCTCCGAAATTCAAATGATATTTAGACCCATTGCTTACTGGTCGACCCTGTGACATTATCACCTTATTCACCCCAAACATAAATGAACGAGATATAACAGAACTACCGAGTGATTATCGGATTAAGATCGAGTGCACCTTGCACTGTCAAAAGAGGTCTACCGGAAAAGATCCGGATAAGAATTAACTGATCTTCAGCGTAAGCCATGCTTGTCGTAAGAGGCGACTAACGGGATCGGATGGTCAGGCTCGCTGATATGATTGACACATGTCATCTTATCTCAACTGCATAGATCAATGCTCATGCTGTTGATCACTGAATTGTCTGGTCCAGACTCAATTATTTACGGACCAACGACATACGATATGTAGCTGGAATATTGCTGAGTGCAGCGTTAAGTGAAAAAACCCAAATCAATTAATTATTCAATCAAAATAGGCGTGACATCTCCATATGAGCAAGTTTTTTAGGGTCTATACAATAGCCTAGATATAGACGTTGTACTAAGTGCTTGGTAAACAATTATGGCAATGTCTCCTCTGATTGTAATTAGCATGCAAATAAATTGCTAGACTGACATATAAGTTTCAGTTTGCAGACCTGTAAACTTTTTAAAATGGGATTGTCATGGACTTGTTAGAAACATTCCTTAAGGATCCTTGTGGGTGGGCACCCCTTTCCAATCAAACACCTCATTTCCTCCAGGGCTGTGGTAATTTTGTAACCCAAACAAGTTTGTAACTGTCAAAGTGACATTATCCCATGTCAGCTTTTCATAGCACCAGCAAGTGCCAACAGGCTGTACATCATACTGCATGGCACTACCTGATGCAGATTTATGTTTTTAGTGTGAAATGATTTCTAAAGACTAGAAATAAAGTCTAGTTCTAGTAGATGGATACAAGTGCAACCTGTGTGTTATAATGCAACATGACTAAAAATTCCAAAATAAATGTTTCTTCAGCTTCTAGGTAGTTTGTAGAATAAATCATATAGTGAATGAATGGTTGATTTTATGAATGTGAATGGACTGATTTTGTCATGATAAAGAATAAAATATGCAATTTCAACATCATCTGTTGTGTCTTGTCATCCCTACATGCTGAATGGACTGGTCCACTCTCATCAACTTCTTGATTGGCATTTTCATAATGTTGTTACATGAACTGTTAGAAATATAGAAACAGGTTTCAAAGTTATCTATTTGGTAAGTTACAAAAATATCAGGTTTTCAAAACTTCGGGTTTATTTTGGGTTACAAAATTACATACACTACTTTCCTTATAGTTAGGTACCATGTTACAATCTGGAGGGTTAGTTGTATGTGTTAGCTGTCACCTCTTTTAATGAATTAATCAAGGATAATTTGAGGAAAGTCAGTACAATATATATTTAATGTCATGGTTACAGCACATGTGCACCAAGGTTACAATTGTGTGCTCAACTTATGGTAAATGAGAGCTGTAATTACTTGTAATGGCACCTGTTGTCCTGTGGTAAAATTAATCAGATTAAATTATTAAAAGGGAGCGGGAAGGGGTTTGGATTATAGATGTTAACCTCTGTATTATGAGGAACATGAAATTTTAGAGTATTTATCAGGTGAATAATGAAGGTGTAAGAGTATACTCTGAACCATTGTATTCCTCATAATATAGAAGTTGTCATCCATTATTTGTTCCCTCTTATGATTTTAGTTCTGAGTGCCATTCAAAGATATTAACTGGTTGTATCCCATTACCCCTACATCCCATTGCCCATTACTCATTAGAGAATACCTTAGCTTGAAGCTGGCAGCATGATTTAAATATTCTGTGCAGCCAATCTGAAATTAAAAAATCTGGTCCAGGTGGAAGGCACTATGGCACAAACAATGCTGTGATATGTAAATGGTGGACACAAAGAGTAGGACACAACATTCTCAGACTTCTCAGTATTATCAGAATGTCACCAAATTAGCTCTTCATTATGCAATGAACATCATTTCAAAATCTAAGATGGCAGTGATGAAACACCTCCAAACATGTTTTATGAGGAATATTATGAAATGTTTTCATGGTAACATTCACACAGAGTATTAATTCCGTTAAACCCGTTTTCTTAACATCATCATCATTGTTGCATAAACACCTGAAATGACAAGTCTTGGTGCTGTCTTGCCTTGTTAGCCTAGCCATCAAGTGCACATTCCAAGTGGTGCTGAATCCCAAAACAGGTTTAGTTTACTGAATACCTCGAGAATGACAACACTCAAAGTCAGCAACCACAACGTTAGTATACTCCTACACCAAAAACATATATAAATTAAAACTTTCATGGATTATCCACTTCTTTATTCAGGCGATGCACCATTTTCAGTACAGATTCTTGTATTGCTGTCAAGCAGGAGTCTATAGAAACTGTCGCATCACCTGAACAATGAAGTTCTTCCATCCATAAAGTTTGTCCCTATCTATACCCTTTTAATTCAGGTCAATGGATCAGTGGTCTAGTGATTAAAGCGTTAGCTCATCACGCCAAAGACCCAAGTTTGATTCCCCTCGTGGGTACAATGTGTGAAGCCCATTTCTTGAGTCCCCTGCCATGATATTGCTGGAATATTGCTAAAAGTGGTGTAAAATTAAACTCTCACTCACATACACTAACTGAAACTGACTAAAATATTTGTTGAATAGCAATATAAATATTACCTTTAAAACACAAAATGTTTTCATTTCAGTCAGTGCCAGAAGTGTTTGAATCTGTCAGCTGAATTTGTCCAGTGCAATCATTTCAGACGATTATGATGTTTATAACGTATGATATATCAGATGTTATTAGCAATTTGACTTGACTTTCACATCAAACTAGTCAGTATATAAATTTAATCACTGGAGATTTCAACACCTTGGCTGGTCAGGTAGATGTGATGACTCCAGAATCATGGTCACTGGTCAGAATTAGGGCTGTAACGATGAATCAAACTATCGATCCATTGCAATTGTTGAGTCTCCGATAGCAATTAATCGATGGTAGAAACGAAAAACTATCGATGCATCGATAGTATGTGTGACTATCGATAGTTTAGTAATTGACTTCCGATAATAAACGTGCAGTGCAATACAGGAAGTACCAAATTCGTTCACTTTGATTTAGAGTGCAGACTTGCAGCTTCACTGAGTTTATGTTTTAACTGTTTACCTGATCTGGGTTTCAAGTTTCTTGTCAGCTATTAAATTGACTGAAACTACTTTAACCTGTTTTTATTTCATATACACATTTGGGAAATGACTTCAAATGAGACAATTCAAGGAGAAAAACTATTGCAATAGTATTGCAATAGTTGGTCACAATAGTATGTTGCAATAGACTATCGCTATCGCAATAGTTGTTTCCCCCTCAATAGTCACCCCAAGTCAAAATTGCATAAGTGTCGGACTGTCATCAATTGTTTTACCATTTCTCTAGAAAACAAGTTATAAAAATGAAAAATATGGTTAAGAAAATCTTTGCAACTACAGTGTAAAGAATTAGACTAATGTTTTGTAACTGGGTGATTTCAATCAAACATTCACAAAAAATCCCCTTCCCCCAAACACCCTAAAAGAAAATATAAAGAATAAACTAACCAATTAAAACAAATAAATAATGCTTTGTTTCAGTTTGACATTGTGCGATAGTTTAACATTGTGCTTCCATATGAAAGTTAGATTTACCGTTAACATACTTAAATTATTTTCACAGAAAATTCATATGGACGATAGAGTAGCACGCAGATTTCCTCAGTATGGGCTTCACATATATGGAGAGGGGTAAGGCACTGAAGTTTACCTGTGCAGGATACCCAATTGTGAATGAAATAATCTGAACTCAAAACATTTAAGTGACAATTTTCACATATCTGTATAAAGTTATGTGACTCTTTGTGTTATATGTTGATCTATTAAATCGCTATACATGTAGTTTTATAGTACTGTGTAATGGAAGGTATTGCTGTGCCTTCTTTTTCTATTGAAACTTCTGTTAAGTAAAATGCAGATTTTACTGAGAGACATGCTGGAAATTATTTACTAGATCCTTTGCCATGGAAGTTATTGCAGTTGCTTGAATTTGGTTTTCTGTTAAATGAAATATGTCACTTAGCATCCACAGAAGGAAGGATGTCACAGCATATCATGAAATGGATCCTATTCAGTCTTCTTTAATTTCTTGTTGAATTATGTTTCAGAGAATATGCAAGAAAAGTTAGGTAAGTGTTAAGATTAGTGATGGCTTCCATGCTTGAGACAAAATCTAAATTGTTAATGCATTAATTTCTATAATGTTGTTTTATTGATGAACAAAATATTGTAGCATTTGAAGGATTTAAATTAACACAATGATGAAAATAACATGTTTCCTTAAACACTGTAATTAGTTGTCCTATTGCATGTATTGCAGCGTCTTGCATGAAAGAAGTCAACAACTGACTGTTGTGATCACCATTGCTTCCATTGTATTCCTTACCATTCTTCCTTTTCTCAGTTCCTTGAAGCTAACTGGCATTCCTGTTCTCTTCATTCCTGGAAATGCTGGTAGTTATCGCCAAGGTAATATCTTAAGTTCAACTTAGAACAATTTTGTTTACATTATTTCTTCAGCATATCAGCCAGATATCAGCCAAAAAGCCCAAACCATTGTTTGCGGGACATTCTGCTTGTCTTGAAAATAAAATGTGTCGTGCAACAAGGAAACTGTTCAGTTGTTCTTTGTGTGATTGTATGGTTTCAAGGAGTAACCCAAACATAACAACCCATCAATGATCCATGTCTTCTGCATGCTTCTAGTGCGATCCTTGGCGTCAGTGGCACTCAGGAAGGCCGAGTCATCTCGCACAAAGTTTGAATTCAACTACTTCTCAGTAAATCTTAATGAGGTAAGCTTAACATATGATCACCAGCTTATCAAGCTATTTATCATCCAATATCTCAGAATAATTATAGAGCAATGCTTTAGCAGCTTTATGTGTATCTAAACATTTTCAAAACCAGTTAGTTACCTTGAACAGTGTTTTGTAGTTTGTCTTGAATGTGCATGGAACACTCTACTCTGTTACAAGAATACTCTACAAGCATAACTTTATGTCTGTCTCAGTGATAGCATAGGATTTCCATAGTAAGGTTACAAAGTTATATCAGAAAATGCCTCTTTAATAGAGCATTGGTTGACAATATTTGTACAAGAAAAGGCAGATACTCTATACTAATGTGTTTTCACAGAGGATGGAACTGTCCATCTTCATTAGCCTTAGATGGAGATGGACCGCCTCCGTGGTGTAGTGGTTAGAGCGTCCGCCCAGAGAGCGGAAGGTCGCGGGTTCAATCCCCGACCGCGTCATACCAAAAAGACGTTAAAATATGGTACTTGTTGGTCCCTGCCTGGCGCTTGGCATTAATGGGTACAACAAGGACTGGTCGGCTCGGAGTCAGTATAATGTGTCTGAGTGGGGTATTCATGCTTCACTGCGGCATGGTATCTCATTCGGCTAGCACTATAAAACCAGCTTAAGTCTGGGCTAGTACAAGCAGCCGCACATACACATACACATGCATGCACGTCGTCATATGAGTGAAATATTCTCAAGCACGGCGTAAAACCCAATTTCACCTCACCTCAACTAGATGGAGATGAGAATTCCAGTTAGAATAGGTCTGATAGGCCTCATGTTTCAAGAGGCAATTATTTGCTTGAGGCATGTCATCATAAGCTGCATTCATAGTATCAATCACTTGGTTTTAAGGATCGAACTCGGTTATTTTCAGGCCAGCATTATCAAACAGGACAACAAATAGTAAAATAGTGTACTAGCCAAGTTTAGTCCAGCTGAGGTGATATTTTTTCCATGGTAACTGCATGCACTAAAATGTCCTCATTTATGTCAGAGTTGTACAGATATGTTTCATCATGATGGGTAGACTCAAAATGCACCTGTTCAGTGTAGAATACACTGTTGGATACATTGATGTGAGGCCTACTTGTCAGAAGGCATGATGATGTTGTTATTGATTCTGACCATGGTTCTATATGCTGCATGTTGTGTAATGTGTGTTACCCACAGGAGCTGGTTGGACTATTTGGGGGGCTGATTCAAGATCAAACAGGTAAAAAACCCTTCACTGCTTTCATAATATACATCTGTGGGCGATTAATTTATCGATGGCGCATTAACATGATAATTAAAGGCATATTTACCATGATAATCAGTGGCATATTTACCATGATAATCAACGGAAGATTTACCAGTGTTTGGAATATAGGTATAGTTTCAGTATGAATGAAACACTAACATTCACCTTCATTTTGGTCTGATACACAGTTTGGAACAATTAAAGCAAAGTTCATTTTGGATCAAAACAAACTGAAATCCAAATAATTAAAAGCTTTTTTGTTATTTTTTCAAGTCTGTCAACTCCATCACCCTTAAAGTGTGACTGTTGTTATTTCAACTTGTCATTGATGCATTGTTATGGGGCCATGGACAATTGTGATTCATCACTGGTTTTGTCATTACACCATTTGTCATTGTTGAATCTGTGTCATTCAGTTCTCAAATGAGACACTTAATGTTTAAAGTTTCAAGTACATGAACACTGATTGATAAGCTGGAAAACTGATCTGTTTTCAGCCACTGGTCTTCGAGACACACATCCTGCAAAAGGGTTTTGTTACACAGGATTACATTTTCAATCAATCACCATATTTTCCCCTCTCTGTTGTTAGAATGAGGGTCAGCTGCCCTGTTCTGCAGGTAACTGAATGTTCTGAGCAGGTGTTGTTATTTTCAGAGTTTGTCCATGAGTGCATCAAGCTGATCCTGAGTTTCTATGCTGGAGCACCCAAACCCCCAACGTCTGTCATCCTGGTGGGACATTCCATGGTAAGAGGAGTCATTCTTTTGCTATATTTACTTCAATGTGAATGTCAAATATATTTATGAAGCTTGAATTTAGCTTTTGGGGAAAGAAGGGTTGCATTTTCTGATAACAAGTAAATGTGTAATTTGTGAAGCAGTTGGCTTTTGGTAGTGTTAAAAAAATGGGTAAGTTATGTGTTATGTGTTAACACCTACCATATCTGATCACATGTAAAATATCCAGTGCACTCTTCTGTCCATTCATGATATTATGTAAACCATCTTTCAGTAACCAATTGCAATATTCACATCCATCACGCCATCCATCAGTCATTCCTCAGTTTTTCCCAAACATTCATCATGTCCACTGATTGAACTATCCATCCTTACCACTATCAATACACCCACTCACCCACCCATCCATCCATCCATCCACCCACACACCCACTCATCTGTCCGTCCGTCCATCCATCCATCCATCCATCCATCCATCCATCCATCCATCCATCCATCCACCAATCCTTACAACACTTTTTCAATCTATTCTGCTTTACAGGGAGGACTAGTAGCTAGAGCCTTGTTCACCCTGCCTACATTTGACCCGAGACTGGTGACCACCATCATCACACAGGCCACCCCCCACCAGGCCCCAGGTGTGTGACCCCATGTGATGGGATATGTAGGATGTCAACTGACTTGCTAGTTACAGTATATATGGGAGGTTGGTTCTTAATGACAGGAGACGTCAAAAGGGCACAGGTGGTTAAATGGTCCAAGGTACAGCATTTGCGGTCCTTTACCAGATTGGAATATCTTGTCCTTGGTTTATCAGCTGGAATATGCTATGGAAACACAACTTCCATTTTATCTCTATGTATATGAGGTGAGGTGAGGTGAAATTGGGCTTAACGTCGTGCTTGACAATATTTCGCTCACATGACGACGTGCATGCATGCGTGTGTATGTGTATGTGTGGCTGCTTGTACTAGCCCAGACTTAAGCTGGTTTTATAGTGCTAGCCCACTAAGATACCATGCTGCAGTGAAGCATGAATACCCCACTCAGAAACATTATACTGACTCCGAGTCGACCAGTCCTTGTTGTACCCAGTAATGCCGAGCGCCAGGCAGGGACCAACAAGTACCATATTTTAACGTCTTTTTGGTATGACGCGGTCGGGGATTGAACCTACGACCTTCCACTCTCCGGGCGGACGCTCTAACCACTACACCACGGAGGCAGTCTCTATGTTTATAAAGTATTCCTAGTTTGATTATTAGAAATATATGAATTGTTTACAATATTAATGGACTTTTGTCTATCAGTTCAAGAGTTGTCAATTTGTCTTGCATTTTTCTATGACTAGTACTATATTCTACAAATGTGAACATCTGACCGTAAGTTTGTGGAACATTTCTGAATTTTCAGCTATTGCCATTGATAGTCTGCTGAGCAGTTTCTATGATGAGATCAACACATACTGGCGTCTCCATGCCAACAGTACGTCTCCGTGACGTCACAGTCGTCAGTACAGGTGGCGGGTACAGAGACATCCTTGTCAGGAATGGCCTCACAACTCTCAAAGGGGTAGGATGCACATTTATTATGAACTGGAGTGTCAGCCAGAATGACTTTTAGTTTGATCACTGAATAGTTTTGTATTGCTGTGCTGAGTTGTGTCCCTTTAATATGATGAGATCTGCTGCTCATTGGTTTCAACCCAAAATGCACCCTTGTCATGAAGAACACTGGTGCAAGCAACTTTCAAGTTTTAACTTTTTCAATGCATTTATGAATTTGAACATATCCACTCACAATATACACCCACATACCAACCATCCATGCTTCAAGTAATCACACCTGTTTGTTGTTAATGTGCACTGACAGTTTCAACAGATTATAAACAAATCTATGCAAAGTGAATCTAATATGGCTGATGTCAATAATTCAAAGAAAATAAATGAAAAAAATAGTGATAAGTTTATTTTGGTGCATTAACTCTTTCAAACCCCTCTAACACTTGATTGCTTTATTTCCTGAAACTTGAATTAAATTTTTAAACATCCATCATATTGTAGTGTTGTCATATTTCCTAGTGGTCTTCCCAAGTTCTGTCCATTGGAGTTATCTTTCTCCCCTTGTCTCTCTTTAAGAATATGTAAGACTGTTCTGAACTTTTTACTTCTACCTCAAGATGGCCATGAGATCATCTTACTAGCTATCTGTGTCAGTGAATATCCAAATGGTTTAATGTTTGCATTTGCAGGTTGTGAGTCAGCACAGAGGAGTCAGTACATCAGTGAGTATATTCTGTTCCAGTTGATTCTGTTTATGTCCTCAAACCAAATTGTTTATCTACCGGTATTTTGTGTATAATCTGTAAAAACATCTGTCATGTTTGGCAAACTGTATGCAATGAGATTGCAATTGCTTGAGCTGAATAACAGCGAATTCCTATTCAATGCCCAATTCCTAACTGAAGTTCCAGTATTCTGTTGGAAGGTGAATAAGCCAACTTTCTGTAGGAAGTTGTGTCCCTTTGCTGGGAGGGTTTACAGAGAGGAGGTTTTAGCATGAAAAAGATGTACAATTATTGAGGATACTATATTTATTATCTTTTTGAATAATGGACTGGAATGCAATGCACTACACCTCCACAAAAGTTTGCTCTTGCATCTAGTAAGTTACAGATGGCACATTTAATGTAACTCAGACAGTCGGGATATATTTTCTTATGTCTGTGTCAGGATTGTATGTGATTAGGACACTGGTACATGTAAGGAGGGTACGAGGATCCTTGTCATTTAATGTCAGTCACTGAATTGTCTGGTCCAGTACTGATTGTTTATAGGCTGACATCATATAGCTCGAGTGGCATTAAACAGACATTGAAGACAACACAAGTGTCTGTCATGTGACTAGTAGGCTTGGTGGAATCCAATGATTAACAGTTTGAATGCTGTCTGGTTGGATTCTGGATCTGAATTGTCTTTGATTTAGATTCTTGAGGGATTTTGCCCTGGTTGTAAATGCCTGAGACCTCCATCAGTTGGAGCTATTCTCTCACACTGCGATGCACTGTTATATAGCATGATGCACTGTGATACACTGTAATATAGCTTCAGCCCAACTCCCTAACTGTTAATGAGTAAGGTAGTTTGCTAGTTGTATAGTGTTCCTTATGGTAATAATGCTGTTTCTTCATTTAGACAATGTCGGTGCCCAAAGCCTGGGTTTCAACAGATCATCTGTGTGCTGTATGGTAAGGATGATATTACATGGGCACCGTCCATTCGTCAAGTTTTGTTTCCTGTTCATATTAATCAAAGACGATCTCTTGATCAAAAGTTTACAAACCAAATGCTAATATTGTTTACTAATTAGGTTTGAACTTTGAATTCAGTATTATTGTCTCAGAACAAGAATCCATGAAGATCTCGGTTGGAATTGATCTTAAGCTACCGGTAACCAAGGGCAACTGATGGTATCTGGTTGTCAGGCTTTGCTGATGTGGTTGACATGTGTCGTTGTATCCCAACTGCATAAATCATTGCTCATGATACCAATCACTGGATTGTTTGTTCCAGACTCAATTATTTACAGAAAACCATCATTATAACATTGCTGAAAGTGACGTCAAACAACAAACATTAGAACAAACATTAGAACAAGTTCCAGAAAACTTTTGAGGTTAGGCTTTTGAGTCATGTACCGAGAACATACCTCTGACAAGGGATATGGATATTTGAGCTACAGTTTGACTAGAAAGGAAATATAAATGGTTCGATCCCCAACTGCTTGATACCCAAAAATACCAAAATGATGTTGCCCTGCATGACAGTTGGCACTATGGACCGGTTGACTTCATGTCAGTACATTGTGTCTGAGTGTGCTGTCGTACGCACACGCACACACACATGCACACAGACTCACATACATGCCTCTAGTTTAGTGCAATAATCTTGAACAGTCTTTAGTTTTGCATTATAGATGTGAAAAGCAGTGCAAAAGTGGATTTGTATGATCATATCTTCTTGTTGAAAAGTTTGTGATTCTTCTGCATGATGTTTTCCAGGTGTAGACAAATGGTTCTGGTGACTAAGAGAGCCATGTTTGATATCATCGATCCTAATACACACCAGGTAGGACACTGAATATGTCTTTATAATTGTCAAGCTGATAAATAACAGCAGTATTGATCATACTTTCTCCTGAAAGGCTTTAATCACACTTGCTGAGGTCACATTTGAGTAGTCTTGTCATGCTGATTGAATTAATGTCAAGCACTTCTGAGTACTGCAGGCTGCACCCATCTAGCGTACAAGAGATGGTAGCCTGTCCCGAAAAGATTTCTGTGACTAACTAAAACACCAAATTTAATCATAAAATGTTGAATTCTTTACTCATGATGGAATTTGATTATGGTTGGTTTGTTGGTTTGTATTCAAGAGTTGACCTGATTGTGACCTTTGCCTGCACCATACCTGTGCTTGTGGGTTTCACTACAGTGAGTGAGTGTGTGAGTGAGTGAGTGAGTGCATGAGTGAGTGATTTTATGCTGCTTTTAGCAATATTCCAACAATATCACAGCAGTGGAAATGGGCTACACACATTGTACCTATGTGGAGAATCAAACCCCTTTAGCATGACAAGTTGATGGTTTTTACCACTGGGATACCCTACTTTGACCATTACACTGACATACATGCTGTGCTGGAGCTAAAAAAGTGCAACAGAGGTCACTCCACCTTTACGGTAGTTTTTAGGTTACTAATTCGCGTCGCTAGATCTGCATAAATCATTGCTCATGATACCAATCACTGGATTATCTGGTCCAAACTCAATTATTTACAGACAACCGTCATATGGCTGGAACATTGCTGAGAGTGGCATCAAATAACAAACAAACATTAGAATAAGTCCCAGACAGCTTTTGAGGCTAGGCACTTGGGTCCTCATCATCTTCTGGTTGAAAAGTTTAGTGAAGTTGATCATTCTTCTGCTTGATGTTTTCCAGGTGTAGACAAATGGTTCTGGTGACTAAGAGAGCCATGTTTGATATAATCGATCCTAATACACACCAGGTATGACACTGAATATGTCTATATAATTGTCAAGCTGATAAATAACATCAGTATTGGTCATACTTTCCTCCTATAAAGGCTTTAATCACACTTGCTGAGGTCACATTTGAGTAGTCTTGTCATGGTGATTGAATTAATGTCAAGCACTTCTGAGAACTGCAGGCTGCACCAATCTAGCGTACAAGAGATGGTAGCCTGTCTCGCAAAGATTTCTGTGACTAACTAAAACACCAAATTTTATCATAAAATGTTGAATTCTTTACTCACGATGGAATTTTATTATGATTGGTTTGTTGGTTTGTATTCAAGAGTTGACCTGATTGTGACCTTTGCCTGCACCATACCTGTGCTTGTGGGTTTCACTACAGTGAGTGAGTGTGTGAGTGAGTGAGTGAGTGCATGAGAGTGATTTTATGCTGCTTTTAGCAATATTCCAACAATATCACAGCAGTGGAAATGGGCTACACACACTGTACCTATGTGGAGAATCAAACCCCTTTAGCATGACAAGTTGATGGTTTTTACCACTGGGATACCCCACTTTGACCATTACACTGACATACATGCTGTGCTGGAGCTAAAAACTGCACAGAGGTCACTCACCTTTTTATGGGTAGTTTTTAAGTTACTAATATGTTTTTCTGTTCAGTTTAAGCACTAATCAAATTGTGACTGCCTCTGTTGCAGGTGACTACAGATGCTGACAGAAGGATGAGAGTGTTCCGACACCACTTCCTGACAAACTCGGGCAGTCAGAAACACCGGGAAAACATTCCAGGGGAGCTAACTCTTGATCCAAAGATTCCTTGGGAAGTCAAACAGAACAAATTGTTCAGATTCAGTGCTGAAAAAGTGAGAATATTTTATTATGAATCGCAGTAGGGACAGTATGTTATTGTGAAATGTTTGAAGTAGTAAAACATTGTGTCTTTGTTAAGATTGGGTGCTTTCAACACGTGCAACATTTGTCTTATTCCATGGTAAAACTCAGTTAAAAGAGTGTTCTTAGGGACACAAACTACTAAAATCATGTCACTAGATAAGTTTCTAATAGCTTTTGATAAGGGCTGCAAATGCTATGAAATTTGTCAACTGAGGATAATGAGTGGAACATTTAAAGGAAACAGTGCAATCTAAGAACTTTCGAGGTGATGCTATTTTCTCAGTTTTCTAGGTATGAAGAATGAAACATTTTTGTTGATCAGATGTCATCCACCAAGTATTTCGCTGTTCCTGTGATTCGGGAGACGGAAGAATCCGCAGTGGAGATAGACTCTGTCATCATCATGAGCAACATTGTAAGTCGTGTCAGCTGATTTATTGGTTTGCTTGTTTAACGCTGTATTCAGCAATATTCCAGCTATGTGGTGGTAGTCTGTAAACAATCAAGCATACGATGATATGTGTCAACAAAGTCAGCGAGCTTGAACACCAGATCCTGTTAGTCGCAGTTGTTGCTGAAGACCGATTCTAACCCAAATCTTCATGGGTAATGATGCAGTCAACACATTATGAGACACAGTCCAGTGATAAACAGCATCAACATTGATCTACCAAAGTGGGATGACATTTGATAACCAAGTCTGCGAATCTGACCACACGATCCTGTTAGTCAACTTTTGCGATGTGTCAGCTAATTCCATAGATGGAGAAAATCCAGTTTGTTTCAAACTTTCTTTTGTCATATTCATTGGCAGACATGATGACCGCTTGAAAATGTGGCATTTCCAACAACAAATGTTTGTATTGTTATTACTAATGTTATTCGTATTGTTTACATGGTTCTAAACATAATAAAACAAGTATGTTTTCCTTCCCAGACTAGACAAGATTGGGTGTGTGCATGTACCTTGAAGGAGAAACAAGACAGATGGTATGTTTTTGAAACATTTTTGATTATTTGTTAGATTAATTGGGAGGGAAGCGGAGGGGTAGCCTAGCGGTTAAACCTTTTGTCACACAGACGGCCCGGTTTCCATTACCCACATTGGTACAATGTGTGAAGTTAATGTCTTGGTCCCTCGAGATTTGTCACACAGAAGATGGGTACAATGTGTGAAGCTAATGTCTTGTGTCCCTCAACGTGAGGGGTAGCCTAGTGGTTAAACCATTTGTCACACAGAAGATCCAGGTTCAGTTACCCACATGGGTACAATGTGTGAAGCTAATGACTTGTGTCCCTCAACGTGAGGGGTAGCCTAGCGGTTAAACCATTTGTCACACAGAAGACCCGGACCCGTGGGTACAACAATGTGAAGCTAATGTCTTGTGAGGTAGCCTAGTGGTTAAACCATTTGTCACACAGAAGACCGTGAGGGGTAGGTTTCCATTACCCACATGGGTACAATGTGTGAAGCTAATGTCTTGTGTCCCTCAACGTGAGCTATTGTTAAAATATTGCTAAAAGTGGCATAAAATCATACTCACTGATATGTCTGGGGCGATTTATTCTGGCAATATTCAACGCTTGTCCCAAGAGCATGGGTAGCTGGTGGTGGGTGGGGGTGGAGGGACTTTGAATAGTTACCTAGTTGATAGCTTCTTTTACTGTTGCAAGCCCTCCTACCACCCCCTACCCCCCGGTCTGCCATTGTGTTTTTCATGTTGAGATAATATTTGATTTTGTCAATGTTTTCATGTCATATAAATTCATTCTGATTTCAGCACGAGCTGCATCAATCTTTCAGCCAAAGCCCAGTCTCTGCCTCCCAACTACTCCAATAAAAAGGTATGCCTGGACTATATCATGAACACTATCAAACAGTTTGGTCCTCTACACCTGTATTCAAGGGCATGAAGTGGCCCAGCCTAGTGGTGTTTATGGTTTTGTTATGTTTTGTGCAGCGTTCTCTTCCCTTAGCGGAGAGTGGAAGGTCGCAGGTTCGATCCCCGACCGTGTCATACCAAAAGACGTTAAAATATGGTACTTGTTGGTCCCTGCCTGGCGTTCGGCATTAATGGGTACAACAAAGACTGGTCGGCTCGGAGTCAGTATAATGTGTCTGAATGGGGTATTCATGCTTCACTGCGGCATGGTATCTCAGTGGGCTAGCACTATAAAACCAGCTTCAGTCTGGACTAGTACAAGCAGCCGCACACACACATACACACGCATGCATGCACGTCGTCATATGAGCGAAATATTGTCAAGCACGACGTTAAGCCCAATTTCACCTCACCTCACCTCTTCCCTTAGCATGATTCTTGGTTTGTTGTCAGTATACATATGTTGTAGTGAGACTTCACATTATCACACACTTTCACTTTGTTCCTGGATGTCAATGTAATTACTGTTAGAAGAGGGGCTAATTCCACATGACTGTCTGGTTTATTCATTTCTGGTTATTTAAGGAGAGACATAATTAGATAATGTGTTTCAGATCTACAAGTAACATAGATCTAGATGGAATTGTTTATCTGCTAATTCACTATACTTTGTATTCTTTATCGAAATTTTGAAAAAGATTATGCAGATTTGATGTTGTGGCAAAACATTGTGGCACAATCTGTACAGAACTTAAGTGCCTTCATCTTTTGATGTGGTTGTCATGTTTATTTATTATTATTATTATTATATATAAAAGACTTTTTATTTGTATGTCTCTTAAGTTTGTGTCATTGCCATACTGGATATGTTGATCATTTCAGGTTATAAGAATGTACCTAAAGGAACTAGGGGAGGCAACTCATATTGTTGTCATTGCAGCTCACTCAAAGCAGAAGGTAGGTCGTTTTATGGAGAATTGAATTGTCACATTCGTTATGTTTATTTTTTTTACAAATTCATATTTGTTAGCAAATCATATTGTAAGCAGAAGATTTGTTGGAGATGCGACATTACTATCTGATGTTTAAACCTCTGAAATAGACCGAGTGAGTAATTAAGGTTTATGTCGCGTTTTACAATATTTCAGTAAAAGTATGGTGGGAGACACCCAAAATGAGCTTCACACACTGTACCCATGTGGGGCATGTAACTTGGGTCTTTGGTGTGACGAGAGAATGCTTTAACCACCAGGCCTCCCCATTGCCCCTTGAATGAGTGAGTGAGTTTAGTTTTATGCCGCACTCAGCAATAGTCCAGCTATATGGCGGTGGTCTGTAAATAATCGAGTATGGACCAGACAATCCAGTGATCAACAGCATGAGCATCGATCTGTGCAATTGGGATACGATGACATGTGTCAACCAAGTCAGCTAGTCTGACCACCTGATCACATTAGTCGCCTCTTACGACAAGCATTGCCCCTTGAAGTAGAAGCAAGATGCTTGTATATATGTATGTGTCATACTCTAAAGAACAGCACTCCCACTAGGACCATTCCATCTTAATGTCATTCCCCATGTATTCAATAGTTTTCGGTGGGCTTGAGTTGCCCAGGGGCTGCAATTCTCTGTGGGGAATTGGGATCCTAAGGCATAGCAGAAAGGAGTCTATGTGGGTTTGAATCCAAGATTTTCTCCTTGATTGTGTTTCTTGGTTTGTCTGCACTATATCCATCTCACCCATGTACTACACACTAAATTAACCTACCTTTGTGAAAATTCACCCTACCCCTGTGAAAATTCACCCTACCTCTGTGAAAATTCACCCTACCTCTGTGAAAATTCACCCTACCTTTGTGAAAATCACCTACCGTTGTGCAAATTCACCCTACCTCAAAATGAAAGATACATGGATCCCAGTGCCTGAAGTTGGTCTGACTGCATCAGCTAGTATCAGTCATGACTAAAATACTATTTCAGTTTCTATTCACTCACAAAGATCTGGGTTAGAATTGGTCTTCAGCAACCCATTCTTGTTGTAAGAGGCGACTAATGAGATCGGGTGGTCAGGCTTGCTGACACTGTCATTGTATCCCAATTGTGTAAATCGATGTTCATGCTGTTGATCACTGGATTGCCTTGTCCACACTTGATTATTAAGAGACCGCCGCCATACAGCTGGAATATAAAGCTGCAGTGTAAAGCAACAAACTAACGAAAACAGAGATATTTTTGTATTCTATTTCAAGATGTTCGATTGAAAAGTGGAGGCATTCTAATAATGAAATAAAGTAAGAATGTCTTAAGCAATCTGTTAAAAAACACAGTTGGGTCAAATCTTCTACCTTGAAAAGTGTTAAATTCCTTCAGAAGACTGACTGACTGAGTTTAGTTTTACGCCGCTTTTAGCAATATTCCAGCAATATCACGGTGGGGGACACCAGAAATGGGCTTCACACATTGTGCCCATGTGGGGAATCGAACCCGGGTCTTTGGCGTGACAAGCCAACGCTTTAACCACTAGGCTACCCCACCGCCCCACCTTGAGAAGAGCATGAACAGGCTAATTTTTCGCTGGTCGCGCTAGGCAGCCGCAATCAGTAGCTCCTTCTATTCTGTTGATACTTTTGTGGATATATACCTGCTACACTGACCAAATTTGTCAGAGATGTCCCTAACATTACCATGATCATTTGTGTGAAATTTCAGACTTCAAAACTGTCAATATGTGGAGTTATTTGATGTTTTTCACATTACTGTGTATGGGAATATTCACATTCTGGCCTTGGCTATCAATCTCTCCCCAAGCCCAAAGCACCCAGATCACAATGACTGTTAATCAACCTCACCTATATGGTGTCTACAGCAGGGAAGATCTTTTGTCTCTCAATCAACCAGCCAGCCCAGGTTGCTCACCCTGTGCCCCGGGTGGGAGTGGAGTCTTACATCATCATATCGACGCCTCACTCCTGACAACATTACGCAATGCTGGGATCTCAGTCAGCAAGAGAACCAAGAGAGGAAACAGAGCAGGAAAGGAAAATTAAAAGGAAAATTGCTGTGTGTCACAATGTTTTCCCAAATGTTTCAACAACTGTGTCCTGTCGTGGTGCTAACCACAACAATCTCATCCAAGTACACCCTCATGCTCCCCAATATGTCTTAGAATGTGCCTTTGAATGCCCAGTCATCTCGTGAATAAACCTGTAGATATCTTTGATATGATCATTGATGATGATATTGATGTGCTAATTCTCACAGAGACCTGGCTGAGGAATGTTGGTGATGAGACTACGATAGCTGAAATGACGCCAATGTCTCATTCCTTCGTGCATCATCCACGACTCGACTCTAAAGGTGGTGGTCTTGCGATTCTCTACAGGAAAACACTCACAATTGTCTTACAGATTTAAACAGTAGTCTTAAATCTTTGAAAAGATGGAGGTAATGTTGACATCTGGACAGACTACTGTGAGACTGGTCTGTATTTATCGCCCCCACCCTCCGTCCAAAACAAACTGTCAAACAAAGACTTTCATCAAGAGTTATCTGCCCTGTTTGCATCACACTCCAGAAGCTGTACAATTTACCTTGGTGATTTTAACATACATTTCAATTCTCAGGAAAACCAGAGGTAAAGAAGTTTGTCAAGCTCATGAACTCTCACTCGTTGACTCAGCATGTCATCATGCCAACTCATAAGTCCGAAATATTCTGGACTGGGTTATCACACACAGTGATCTCAAACTTGTTGGTGACGCTCAGGTCAAGGACCAGCAGATTTCGACCACTTCAGTGTCTTCTTCAACTTAAAGCTGGCAAAGCCAGAGAATGAGCGCATTGGTTTTACCTTGTCGAAACATCAGTAAAATTCCATCTGAGACTTTCAGGCTTGATTTACTGACCTCTAAATTACTGAGTGATCCTCCTTCTGACGTTGATGAACTTGTTCAACTCTTCTGTGATACTCTTACATCACTTCTGGATAAGCACGCCCTACAGTTGAGAAGAAGGTTATCCTTCGCCCTCATGCCCCATGGTATGACGAGGCTGTACGCCACCGGCGTCTACGGCGCAGAGCAGAGAGAAAATGGCGCAGTACTCGCTAGAAATACATCGGCAAATATATCGGCAGTGTTGCAAATGATACCAGACGACTGATTATTTCGCTAAAAGGAACTATTGTCTCAAGAGCATAACCGACAGCATGGGTAAGCCAGCATCCCTTTATCGGCTCATGGGCAAACTGCTTGGAAAGGGACGAGAACAAGATACTCAGTCTCCAGCAGAGGAACAGAAGGAACTGGCAAACTCGCTCAATTCCTTCTTTATCGCAAAAATTGAGAAAATTCGCCATGGTCTTGCCTGTGATGGCGATTACAGTGAACCAATGTTTGCAGGTGACCCCTGTCACATTTCAGAACATTTAGTCCCAAGGAAATAGAACAACTCATTCGCTCATCAAAACCCACTTCTTGTGACTCTGACCCCATTCCAACCAAACTTCTAATAAAGCATCTGGACCTACTGATTTCACCCATCACTAAGATTGTCAATATAAGTCTTCAGAACGGTCTGTTCCCAAACAGTTTCAAGGGGCGGTGGTCAGACCACTATTGAAAAGTCTGGCTTGATCCTCAAGATCTGAGAAACTTTCGCCTGTCTCAAACTTGTCTTTCATATCCAAAATCATTGAGAAAGCAGTTCACTCCTGTCTCAAAGAACATCTGTTAAGTCATGATCTCCTTGATTCATTCCAGTCTGCCTACCGCAGTACTACAGTACAGAGACAGCACTGCTTCATGTAACTGACAAACTTCAACGTGCCACTGACGAGGGTAAGATTTCAGCTCTGGTCATGTTGGACTTATCCGCTGCTTTCGACATCGCTGACCACCCTAAACTCCTGACTAGATTGCAGCATCATTATGGACTGAGTGACCTTGTCCTTCAGTGGGTTTCCTCTTACCTGACAGGTCGGCATCAATCGGTCCTTGTGGGCAGAGAGCGCCTCCAACCGCGGGCGGCTGTCTCCTGTGGAGTGCCCCAAGGATCGGTTCTTGGCCCGGTTCTGTTTGTGTTGTACACAGGGCATGTTGGATACATTGTCAGTGATCATGATATGTCTCACCATGTTTATGCTGATGACACCCAGCTTCTGGAATCGTTTCACCCATCAGAGTTGAATGAGTCTCTTCAACGACGCTGACTGTACACTAGACATAAAGTCATGGATGACTACAAACAAGCTCAAGCTGAATGACACGAAAACCGAAGCACTCCTTGTGGGCACAAGACAACAACTAAGCAAGGTGGATGCTGTCACCCTCAAAGTTGCAGATGCGGATATCCGGCCCATCAGATGTTGTGAGGAATCTTGGCGCTCACATTGATTCTTCTTTGACGCTCAATGCCCATGTTAACCAAGTGAGCAAAACATGCTTCTTCCATCTCAGGTCGATCAGCAACATTCGCCAGTACTTGACTTCTGCAGCAACTCAAGCCCTTGTTCGAGCTCTAGTAACATCCAGGCTCGACTATTGTAACAGTGTTCTTTCTGGCATCAACTCCAATCTGATTGATAAACTGCAGAGGATTCAAAACACCTCTGCCCGCATTATCAGTAGAACTTCTAAACGCGGTCCACATCACTCCTGTCCTTAAAGAACTCCACTGGCTTCCAGTCAAGGCAAGAATCGATTTCAAAATTCTCTCCTGACGCATAAATGTCTCCATGGCTTGCCCCCCCTTCCTACCTCTCTGACCTGCTTCACCCATATGTACCTGCCCGCAGTCTCCGCTCCAACTCTCAGAATCTTCTTGTGATACCCTCCTACAAACTGAAATCTTCGACACCGCAGCTTCTCCTACACAGCACCGCCCTCTGGAATGTTCTTCCATATGACATCAAAGACTCTGACAGTTTTGATAGTTTTAAAGCAAAACTGAAAACCCACCTTTTCTCAGTATACTTCTCATAACTTCACCCATCTTCATCTTTGTAGCTTTGAGCATACCAAAGGCGTGGAAAAGGCGATTATAAATGTGCATTATTATTATTATTATTATGCAGGTGAGGAGTTGGCTACTTGGGCATCTAATCTGAAACCCAAATCTTGTCAGATGTACTTAGTGTAATGACATCATGTACATTTCAGATGCTTAAAGGCACAATGTTGCGCTTTTTCGACAATATTTTGGTCTATGATATATATATTGGGGCATATGCACTCACTGTAGCTTCCTATTGATACAATAAAAGACTTATTATCCCTTACGACTTGCCTGAAATCGATAATTGAAACTTCAAGGCGAACAGCTTCTAAACAGATAACACTTGCCATGTAATGTAAATGATTGCTCCGTACATTGAAAACTGTTGCATGCAGTGTTGTTGGTGTATGCCGAACTGGCCTCAATCACAAGGTGGATATAGGATATTCCTAAAGAGCATTCCAAGGGACATAACTCAATGGGGTTTGCTTGAAATACAGTTCGGTCAGTAGAAGGCGTGAATGTCGATTTAATGCAATGTTGCATTAAATCATTCGAACTTTTTAATTTCATACTGTAATCATTATACGTAATTTTTTTCAGAATAAATTATATGGTCTCTTCGCTGGAGGCTGAGAGTTAGTATTAATGAGAGAAATGCAATATTGATTTTTAGATAAGTGTGACGTGATAGTGTGCCTTTAAGAACATCTGTTGTTTTCTCGCTAATGCCATGAACAACTGTAAAACATGTCACTAAGTTATACAACACAACTTACTCTGCCATTATCCGAGTTGTTACAATATCTGTGTGATGCAACACACCTCATTTTAGCTTGAGCAAACACGTACAACAGCTGAAAAAACATATAATCCTCATTCTGTGTGATTAAAATATGATTCTTACAGTTTATATTAGGCTCATTGTTTTTGTTGCTCTGGGATTGACAATGGTTATGATAAGTACAATCAATTGTTGTGTGTATTTCAGCTGAGTATGAAGGGATTGTGTACACTCTGAATGTACCCTGGAGTAATGAAAGCACATATGGATTCAGCAAGTAAGTTGTTTGTAATAAGGAGGATATCTCTTAAAGTGGTAATGTTTCCAGTCAAACCACGATCATTGGTTTTCATTGGTCATAAAATGGGTGCAAATATTCCCTTTTAGACTTGGCATGGAGTGAGTGAGTGAGATTTCAGTTTTACCCGCACTCAGCAATATTCCAGCTATATGGCGGCGGTCTGTAAATAATCGAGTCTGGACCAGATAATCCAGTGATCAACAGCATGAGCATCGATCTGCGCAATTGGGAACCGATGACAAGTCGGCGAGCCTGACCACCCGATCCCGTTAGTCGCCTCTTATGACAAGCATGGGTTACTGAGGTTCATTCTAACTGAGACCTTCACAGTTAGAGTTGGCATGGATGGTTCTGTTGGTTTTGTGCAGAAAATAAACAGGATGCTAACAGGATTTTAACAGTATTTATCGCTGCAGTACTGTCATTGAATTTCTTTACATGATGTTTGCTGAGGTCATATACTATGTAGATAGCTTCAATTATGTTTTTGAATTTATGGGGTTTTATGTTGGCTTTTTTGTGGTTGTATAGTTGTATGTGCTGAATATGTCAACAAGTGTTTAATAAATATAAATTTATAAATGCTGTTATTTCATATTTAATAAATATCAGAAAATACAAAGTGTGGCCATAGAATGAAAACAATATTTATCACCATACTTTATATGGGTCTTATATATTTTATGGGGTTATATGTCATATTAGGGATGCAGAGATACCCTCAGTCAATAATCTCTTACACACCCGCTGGTGAGAAACTTGCGAATTAAGTTAGTTGTGCTTTGGTTGAACTTGTTTATGTATTGTGGAAACTTTATGGCTTTAGATTGTAAATAAATGTCCTCATGTCTTTTCTAGTTTTCATTAATATCTTTGCCCCTACTATCCTCAGGAGTGAAGGAAAAGTTAGTGTGGAGGGCTTCCCTTGGTATGAGTAGTAAGCAGTTGGTAGGATGACATTACATTTGACTGTTTTGTTATGTATTGATGCGCCACTGTAGTGATGAAAATGGACCAAATATATACTAGGCACATAAAGAAACTGTGCATTGTCAAAATATTATCCCAGCTGATAAGTACGATAACAATGTCAAAGGTACATATAAACTTTAATGGAGGGATCATGAGACCATAACAAGTAGGGAGAATTTCAATTGAAAAGTCAATCACAATGACGTCACGAGTCCACAAGCAGGACAGGGGTCAAACGACCATGTCACAAGCTCAATAACGGGTATGTCCACCATCGGCATTGAGAACAGCAGTGCATGGACGACGCATAGAGCCTATCAAACGTGCAAGGAAGGCTTGTGGGATGTCACGCCAGATTCTCTCAAGTTCTGTTGCAAGGTCAAGGAAGTTATCTGGCGATGATGAAGAAGGCGTATGGCGACGTCGAACCATCTCGTCCCAAACATGCTCTATCGGGGAGAGATCCGTGAATTTGCAGGCCAAGGCAGTAAGTCAACGTTGTGGTGTTGCAAGAAATCCATAGCAACCCTTGCCGTATGAGAGGCCGGGCATTGTCCTGTTGGAATGTTAACCCAGGGCCATGACGCGTTGCAGAAAAGGAATTATCACAGGTCGAAGAATCTGATCCCTGTAGCCCACACCAGTTAAGTTGCCCTGAACAATCACCAAAGGAGTTCTTTGGCGTGCTGTTATTCCACCTCAAATCATCAATGAACCACCACCAAAGCAATTCCTCTCCAAGACACAGGCCTGTGCATAACGTTCTCCCACGTGCCGTCTATAGGCACGTTGGACGTCCATCACTATGGGAAATGTTAAACCTGGACTCATCTGTAAAAACAACATTTCTCCACCAAAACAAGGGTCTGCGGACATGATTTCAGCACCACATTTGGCGAGCTTGTCGATGACGTTGTGTCAGGATAGGCCGTATGGCGGGACGTCGTGGTCTGATCCCGTGATGACGTAAACGTTGTCGAACTGTGTTGGGGTGGATACGGCGAAGTCCTGGGATGGTTCGGGCAGTCATCACTGCAGTCTGAAATCTGTGGCATAGATGGGTCACCCTTATCCATCTGTCCTGTCTTGGCGTTGTTACACGTGGATGTCCAGAACGTGGCCGATCGATGACGTCATTTGTGTTCTGGTAGCGTCTCACAAGTGCAGAAATGGTGTTCCTGTGGCAGTGGAAATGTGCAGCCACTTGTCGTTGAGACATTCCCCCACGGACCATCCCGATGGCCTCATGACGTTGTGCAGACGTGAGCCTTGGCATGCTATGCGTTTCAATAGCCGTTTAATTTTTTGAACGATTGCAAGGGCAGGTGTTGAGCTTTCCAAACTGACAGTATTGTGTGGCATTCATTTGCTCTGTTTCTCTTTCCCGGAATACACGTGCAACAACATATTGCACGTCTCAAGGACGAACCCACTGACGTCACGGAACGTGGCACGTGCATGCATGTTGGATACATGTCACTAATCTCTGAGTTTAAATCCTTATGTGTCTACACAGGTTTGATAAATTTAGATTTTCAATTTTTGTATGCACAGTTTCTTTATGTGCCTAGTATATATTCAGCAAAAAATAAAGGAAACACTGAAATAGAATAATCGGAAATATCTGACAGAAAAAGGATCAACATGGGACCTACCCAGATCAACCCTTTCAGCCCAGACAGTGAGAAACCGTTTGTGTGTATTTGCGGCAGATGACCAGTGCAAGGCGTGATTCTGACTGATCAGCATCATCGGGCTGAGAGGTCAACAGTGTCAAGTTCGAATCCCCACACTGAAGTATGGCCACAATGGAGATGTGTTTGGCGTAAAACCAAACTAGTATATACGTGTCATGGGGAGTATGGCCACAATGGAGATGTGTTTCCCCCTCATTGTGTCCTTTCTCATTGTGTCCTTTCTATGGAATTTGGCTCCCATCACTTGTACAGTGACAAATCTCGTCTTTTTGCTTTTCTGTACAATTTGAAGACATATTTACTTGAAACGGCATGCAGGAAGTGGACAGGTTTGGTGGTAGGAGTGTAATGATTGTAATGATGTGGGCTGCCATCTCCCATACGGGTATAGCAGACTTGGTACCCATCCAGGGCAGTTTAATGGCTTAATGTTACACAGATGAAATTCTTCGGCCACATGTCCATCAAATTAAGGAACAAGCAAATGTCATTTTTCAACAACGCCGACCTCACACAGCAAGACTGACAACCTTTTTGAGGAACCACAACATCCAAGTATTGCATTGGCCCTCAAGGTCTCCAGATCTAAACCCCATCAAACAGTAAGAGATGAACGTCTGTGATGACGTCAGCAACAGCCACAGAACCTCCAACAGTTGTCACTGCAGGAAGAGTGGGTGAACATTCCTTGTCCTCAATTTGTAGTCTCTTTGATAGTGGTGATGCCAGGCAGCTCTGGACTCTCATGGGGCCAAACAAGATATCAAGGATAGATGACCTTCACCTTGACATTTGATTGTTTCATGTGTGCAGTGATGAACCTCAATCAATGACTTGTGCCAGATTTGAACAATTTATTATGATCTTATGTATGTATACATTAAGTATACATCTGAAAACCACTTTTGCATTTCTTTTCTTTTGCAGAGTATATGTCGATTTGATGTAGATAGGGTACAGTTTTAGGGGGGTGTTAGAAACAGATTACTGCACTTGTGCCTGGCAGATAATATTTATGTTGCAACTTGTTTTTATGAAACATATCTAACTGGTTTCCATTCATTAGATATGATTTGAAACAACTTTGTTAAGATAGATAGTATCTGACAGACAATCAGTAATCTCTGTGTATCAAGAAGGTTTAAACATGTGCTATGAGAGTGCAACTTATGATCGGTATTCAGGTTCCGAGAGACTGGACAATTCCCAGTGAAGGTGCAGAGCGGCAAGCCGAGGGATGCTGAGGATGAGGCAGTTCATCTGGAGATGTTCCTCCATCCATCCTGCTCATACCACCTGAAGCTGACCACGTCACCTGTACATGTCATGGGGCAGGTAGGTGTCACACTTGTCCCAGCTGCTCTGATGGTTGCCGTAGGGCACCTTCATACTGATTGTTGTGTCAGGGTGCCGTGATGGTTTCATCCAGATGCCATGGCACTGTGACTCTGTTGCATGATATGACTGGAACTTAGGGCTTTGAAAGCACTCATTGTCAGCTACTCTGGTGAAGGTGAGACATAGTGGGTGAAGCAGTTGTAAAATCTCACTGTTGTCTTGGTTATGGTGAGGTGAGGTGAAATTGGGTTTAACGTCTTGCTTGAGAATATTTCGCTCATATGACGACGTGCATGCGTGTGTATGTGTATGTGCAGCTGCTTGTACTAGCCCAGACTGAAGCTGGTTTTATAGTGCTAGCTCACTGAGATACCATGCCGCAGTGAAGCATGAATACCCCACTCAGACACATTATACTGACTCCGAGCCGACCAGTCCTTGATGTACCCATTAATGCCGAGAGCCAGGCAGGGACCAACAAGTACCATATTTTAACGTCTTTTTGACCTTCCGCTCTCCGGGCGGACGCTCTAACCACTACACCACGGAGGCGGTCTGTATATTGTATGTTTCTGTGCAAGGAAGTTACTGCTTAACGTCTCACTAGATTGCTCAAGAGCTGACTGTTTAGTATGTATATAGTAAGCTCATAAAACATGTCATTAAAAACATCTTATTAATTCTTGTCTTGCATTCAAAACAGTCAAACCTTGTTAATCCAGCCAGTTTCATCCCAAAGAAATCATTCATTGTCAAATTTCAGGATTTGTGAATCAGGTTTACAGACTATGATCCTGTTTGCAGCATGTAAGCTTTCCAGCCATATTATTTGATAATTCTAGGTGCCCAGATTCACAGGGTCCAGATTAACAAGGTTTCATTGTGTACATTCAATGTTGCCAGATAATGCATCAGAAATGTGGAGCTATATCGCTCACATTTTAGTGAGTGAGTAGGGTTTTTACTCTACTGGGGCGGTGGGGTAGCCTAATGGTTAAAGCGTTGGCTCGTCACGCCGAAGACCCGGGTTCGAATCCCCACATGGGCACAATGTGTGAAGCCCATTTCTGGTGTCCCGCCTTGATGTTGCTGGAATATTGCTAAAAGCGGCATAAAACCAAACTCAGTCAGTCAGTTTTACGCTACTTTTAGCAGTATCTAAGCATTATCATAGCAGGGGACACTAGAAAAGGGCTTCACATACTGTATCCAAGGAGGGAATTGGACCCTGGTGTTCGGTGACTACTTTAACCACTAGACTGTCCCACTGCTCCTGCTTTATGGTCCATGACCTTCTGACCTGGTTGACATGTTCAGTCCTCTAACTGAAGACATATGTACAAACCTGCACTTGCATCCATTGTGTGAAGTCAGTTATTAATGAACACCAACATCATATGGCAAGTGTGTAGATAAAATCAACATAAAATCTCAGTCACATTAAAATGCTACATGCAAGAACATGCAGCAATCACTACATGTACTTTAGGTTAGGCCAGTCCTCCTGGTCATCGAACCGCCTCGTGGTGTAGTGGTGGTTAGAGGTGCCTGAGAGCGGAAGTCGCCGAGTCCTACCAAAAGATGTTAAAATATGGTACTTGTTGGTCCCTGCCTGGCGCCGGGCATTAATACAACAAGGACTGGTGCTCGGAGTCAGTATAATGTGTCTGAATGGGGTATTCATGTGCGGCATGGTATCCAGTGAGCTAGCTCTGTAAAACCAAAGCATAGCCGCACATACACATACATACCCTCACATCATAGGTACGACGAAAAACACTTTACCTCCCTGGTTCCCTGTGAGATTCCTTCAGTCTGCCACTGTGAGCAGGCATCACATCAAGGCCAACAAGACATTAAGGAGTTTTGATATTAGCCAGATGTCCATAATCAAGTCTTTGTCCTTCATGTCGCTTTAAGATACAATAAAAGAGATAGAAGACTGTAAACTGAGTTTTGTGAAATTTAAAACAAATGTGATAACACATTAATGTCTTGAAATGCTTTTTTTCCAAGTTTTGATCTTAAAATACAAAATGAGAAGAGTAATTAATGAACTTTAGAAATAAAATTATAAGAGCATTTGACTTCATATACATTTTGTTATTGTTATTTTTTCAATAATCCTCACCAAAATGCCCTTTTAGATTATGAAGTGCCCTTTTCTTTGAAGTTACCCTGCCCTTTCTGAATCCTAGAGGAAACATTAACCCCCATATGAGTAGAAGCCTACTTGGTGTCCCTGTTGGCACTGGAATATTGTTATAATGTGACTTCATCAGTCTGAGGTTGATAGGATAACAAAATGTCATATAGAATTCCTTTGAAAACATTTTTGAAAGATAATGAGTTTTCCAAACAAACTTTGACAGTATGTTGTTGCCATGGCTGCACAGCATGGCTGCAGTTTTTAAACTCGATTTGGGACAGTTGGTTTTCCATTCCTGCAAAACCTAAAAATGAATTGTCCAGCCATCATTTAGCATCATTATATCATTTCTGCTGTGGGGGATTCTTTGCACCACCAATAGGAAGCCTTCTACACCAATGGGATCTATGGACTCCAGCACTCTTGGCAGAAGTGTGTGGAGATTGTAGGTGGAAATGTTGAAACAATAATTCATCAGAGCAGTTCATAGTAGTTTGGCTCTCAACTTTTCTGCCACCTCTTGAAGATGCATGATAGACCCAGTTTTGTATCTGACTCAGGAAGAGACTGGGTTCAGTTCTGCATTTTCTCAGTTTTCTCTGGCAGATCCATGACAGACCAGGATGAGACTTGAGTAAGACATTCACTCAAAAGAGAATGGAACCAGTCTAGCTTTTCTGTGGATGTTCCTACGACAGACCAGGTTAATATTTGACAGGAATGGTCACTCAGAAGAGACTGAAACCAGTCTAGCTCTTCTCTAGATGTTCCCATGACAGACCAGGTTGATATTTGGCTGAGAACCTAATTTTCTCTAATTCCAAGAGCCCAAGTTCAGTGTAGTGACTCCCAAGAGGTTAGGTCATGTGCCGTCTGCAAGTGGTCACCTGGAGACTAATCTGCACTGACCATGTTACAAGCGGACAGCATCAGCTAATGACCCACTGGAAGATGATCCTTGTAACATTATCCAGCTGAAACTCAATTGTCTTCAAATTGGACAGGATTGTTCTTGGATGGTACACGAGGTGGACACTCAGCCCTAATTGTCTAACTTGATACAGTTTCAGTTCCAATGACTGGTTGTGTGTCTGAGGAGTGATATGATTGTTCCAGCATGTCTGAAAGGAATGAAGTCTCCAGATCAACTTATCCTCATCCATCTGTGCCTTGTAACATGTTTATGTTCATGTCTGGTTTGTTTCAGTACTGTTGCTTGCATGGCACTCAAATACTTGTTTTTTTGTGTGTTGTTCAATGCTGCACTCAGCGAAAACCCAGTTGTATGGCTGCATGGTGTTAAACCTCACAGCACTCACTCACCTTCGTGTTAAACTTCAAAACATTCACTGTAGTGATAAACCTCACAACTCTCACTCACTGTAGCATTAAACCTCACAACCCTCACTAACTGTAGTGATAAACCTCACAACCCTCACTCACTGTAGCATTAAACCTCACAACCCTCACTCACCATAGTGTAAACCTCACAACCCTCACTCACTGTAGCATTAAACCTCACAACCCTCACTCACTGTAGCATTAAACCTCACAACCCTCACTCACCATAGTGTAAACCTCACAACCCTCACTCACTGTAGCATTAAACCTCACAACCCTCACTCACTGTAGCATTAAACCTCACAACCCTCACTCACCATAGTGTAAACCTCACAACCCTCACTCACTGTAGCATTAAACCTCACAACCCTCACTCACTGTAGCATTAAACCTCACAACCCTCACTCACTGTAGCATTAAACCTCACAACCCTCACTCACTGTAGCATTAAACCTCACAACCCTCATTCACTGTAGTGATGAACCTCACAACCCTCACTCACTGTAGTGATAAACCTCACAACACTCACTAACTGTAGTGATAAACCTCACAACCCTCACTCACTGTAGCATTAAACCTCACAACCCTCCCTCACTGTAACATTAAACCTCACAACACTCACTCACTGTAGCATTAAACCTCACAACCCTCACTCACTGTAGTGATGAACCTCACAACCCTCACTCACTGTAGTGATGAACCTCACAACCCTCACTCACTGTAGTGATGAACCTCACAACCCTCACTCACTGTAGTGATGAACCTTACAACCCTCACTCGCTGTAGCATTAAACCTCACAACCCTCACTCACTGTAGCATTAAACCTCACAACCCTCATTCACTGTAGTGATGAACCTCAAAACCTTCACTCACTGTAGTGATGAACCTCACAACCCTCATTCACTGTAGTGATGAACCTCCACAACCCCTCACTCACTGTAGTGATAAACCCTCACAACCTCACTCACTGTAGTGATGAACCTCACAACCCTCACTCACTATAGTGATGAACCAAGACAACCCTCACTCACTGTAGTGATGAACCTCACAACCCTCACTCACTGTAGTGATAAACCTCACAACCCTCACTCACTGTAGTGATGAACCTCACAACCCTCACTCACTGTAGCATTAAACCTCACAACCCTCACTCACTGTAGTGATGAACCTCACAACCCTCACTCACTGTAGCATTAAACCTCACAACCCTCACTCACTGTAGTGATGAACCTCACAACCCTCACTCACTGTAGTGATGAACCTCACAACCCTCACTCACTGTAGTGATGAACCTCACAACCCTCACTCACTGTAGTGATGAACCTTACAACCCTCACTCGCTGTAGCATTAAACCTCACAACCCTCACTCACTGTAGCATTAAACCTCACAACCCTCATTCACTGTAGTGATGAACCTCAAAACCTTCACTCACTGTAGTGATGAACCTCACAACCCTCACTCACTGTAGTGATGAACCTCACAACCCTCACTCACTGTAGTGATG